CACAGCGCGGCCCCGAAGACGAAGAAGCCCACGAGGCGACCCCAGTTGGGGCCCCCTTGGAAAAGTTCGTCGCACACCTGGGTGAAGAACTGCTGGGCCGAGCCCAGGGTCACGTGCAGCTGGGCCGCCAGGTCAGAGAAGGTTCTCTGGAAGTGGTTCTCGAACTCATCTCCAGCTGCCCGCATGGCTTGGTGCAGCGGGTCAGCTGCCGGGCCCTCCCCGGGGCCAGCCCCACAGAGATAACCCTTCTGCCTCAGCTTATAGCCTATGAAGTCTGCCACCAGAGCCCGTGTGTCTGGGACCAAGGCTGGGGTCGCCATCTGGGCGGCCAGCATGGATGGCAGCTCTTAGGACCGGGCACTAGTAGCAAGGAGTCCCCAGCCGGGGCCTTTTAGCTTCCCGGACAGCCTAGAGCCGGGTCAGGCCGCTGCTTGGGATCCTGGCTGTTCCCGGTGCTCGAGCCTGGAAGTCCCGAAAATTTCTCAGAAAACACTCAAGGGGAGAACACGTAACACAAGACGTGGACTGGCCCGTGCTAGCCACAAAGCTTTTCGTTCACGACACAGAGACAGACGATGCAAACAGAAAGACGAATTGGCCAATATACACCCGTAGTAAAACGTTCCTTCACTCCCAAACTCAAAGACGAAAAAGACAGAAAAACGGGGAACTCCAAAAAACCAGAAAGACCAGATTCCCGCCGAGTGGCCCCGGTCTTACCCCTCTGGGGTGCCTCCCCACTCTTTGGGATAAAACCGGGACTCGAAACCGGACCCTGGGAGTTAAGCTGCGTCCAGCCCCCCTAGCAGTGCACTCACCAGAAGACTCGTGCAGAGGAATTTGGTTGCTTTTCAGGTGTCGGTGGCCGGCGCGCGATCTGGCGGTCGCCCGGGGCTGAGGGACGTCTCTCAGGAGCTCTCCCCTAGGCTAGGCACCCGATCCCGCGCCGGGCCACCAGGCACCGGTGGTCACCAGGTGCCCACGCTGGGGCAGAATCTCGCTGGGGCCTACCAAATGTTATAGTTTGGAGTGCGAGAAAGGACCACTTAAAAGACCGAATTGAGCCAAATTATGAGCCTTTCTTAGCTGGCCAGCGACCACCCCTGCTCTGCCAGAGCACAGGAGCAGAGAATGGCCCCGAGCTTTGCAAGCAGTGGGGTTTTATACCCCTCACCATAAGGGAACACGTGACTCCGACTCCGTGCATACAGCTGGGAACAATGTTGCCATAATTTCCGGGACCTGGAGGTGTGGGAGCTGCCTCGGACCCCCTGGTGTGATCACAATCTTTAGGCAAGCCAGTTTACAAAAACAGACAACACTGGTGAAGGCAAGATATGTTTTTTACATGAATTGAGCAAACCAGTGTATGCCTTCCCTGTATTGATGTATGACTTCACGTGTAATTCCTGTCTCCCTGGAATGTATGAAACCCAACCGTGACCCAGCCATGACCACCTGCTCCACGCTGCTTCTTTCTTGTTAACGGGAAAAAAAAAGCCAAACTCTAATATTTTTTTTTTCTTTTTTATTTCAGCACATCCCGGGGTAATTTTAAAGAGATTTACTCTGAGCCAAATTCGAGGACCGTGACCCAGAGCCACGCCCGAGAGGCCTTGAGCAGTGGCCTCGCTGCGGCCGGGTCACAGTTTGGTTTTACACGTTTCAGGGAGACAGGGGGTGACAGGTGAAGTCATAAATCAGTACCTGGGAGGCATACATTGGTTTGGCCCGAAAAGGTGGCCCATCTCAAAGCAGGGGCTTACAGGTTATAGGTGGGTTCAAAGATTCTTCGGCTCGTGATTGCTAAAGACGTGAAGCTTTGCCTGCAGGCTTGGAATGTTCTAACACAGGAGCTGTTAATGAGAGAGGAGCCACCGGACTTAGATTTGTTGTGCAAATTGAGGCCTTGCAGGTGTGTCTTGCATACTCTTAGGCCTGTTAATGGCTTACAAAGCCTGTCTCCAAGAAGGGAGGGGGCCTGTCTGACCTCCCCCCTCCTGGCAATTCAGCTTTAGGATTTGCCTTTGGCCTAGAGAGTGCCCCTTTACTGAGGGGGGGAGGGGTGAGCCTTAAAATTTTATTTTGGTTCGCAGGATTCCATTGGCAACAGGACAACCGTTAAAAGACATTTTTGAGTCAACCAGGGAAGAGGACTGAGAATCGTCCGTTTTCTTAGGTGTTGATCCTAATACCGTGGCAATGTTTAAAAACTAGACTTTATTGATGAAACATACTTTCGAATGAAATATGTCTGCTGGGATGCTTTAAAATGGCTCCAGCAAGAAGAAAACAACAACAAAAAAAA